ATGGTGCCACTGGAGGAGAGCCGGTCGCTGACGTTGACGCTACTTTAGAGGCTTTGTCAACACACCCCTCATGGACGCCCTCGATACAGAACTTGGCTTCCAACTCCCGAACAACGCCGTGCTCGGCCGACGCGCCGACCCTATTGAGATAGCGAAAATCATCCAATTCCTGCTAAGCAGCGACGCGAGCTACGTTACTGGCTCTGTGTGGCAGGTCGATGGCGGCATGCTGTGTTGAGTTGAGATAAGGGAAAAGAAAGACGTGCAGACGCGAATTGGTGTTGCAGAAGCGAGAGTGGGTACGAGAAGAGGTCGCTATACACGCTCTGGGGTTAGTTTGGGTTTCTGCGATGGGTGTGGAGTATTCCCATCTTGGGAAGACGACGACGGTGGAAGCGAGGCAAGCTTATGCTTACTTGCCGAGATGTCATACAACTGTCTTTTTCAGCCTTACAAAAAGCAATGTGATCTCCGTCGTTGAGCTGGGTACACATGCCGCAGACCCGTACCAGAGTTGAGAGAGTCGACGTTAATGCGAGTCCCGCACGCATGTGCTATTCTGGGAAAGGGTACCTAGGTAGTTGCAATTCGTTTTCCTCAGATACACGAGAGGCGTTGTGGAGTTGCAATTTTCAGCATTGAATTGCTTTTTGGTTACTATCGATAAAGACGCGCCGACACTTTCGATGATGGCATGATCAGGCAATGCACGTTCGGTTGCGGACTGTTGTTAGACAAGCGGTAGTGCTCTACTTACGCGTCAAGTGCCGCTGCATACCCCTTCCAACAGGGCAGAGATCTGCACCCCAGCCGTGCTGCTTGCGAATCCGCGGCTCGGAAGGCATTGCGCCAACCTTAGAGTTTGTAGATCTCGTTTTCGTGGCAGGCAAGGCTAGAAGTAAAAAAGCAAGAAAGTAATGAGTCGATCTCGGAGAGACTGCCTAGTGTCTCGCTGAGTTTCCCTGGCTGGGCAAAGTGCTACTTTCTTGCTTCTTGTCGCCTGAGTGAGGTTGGGGAAGAGGGAGGGTTGGAGCAAAGTTAGACTAGTATCAATGCCGCGGACCCGAACCAAAAGTCGAGCGAAGGCGTTGACCCGGCCCAGAGATCGTGAGCCAAAGTCCATACCACCCCCATACGTGCGGGATGCACCGACCTCGAACCAGTGCTCAATGTGGTTTTCTAATCATCAAATGCCATGACATCGAAATAACGGCATGGGCAGAAAATAGTAGCCTCGAACGCAGTGTTAAATGACTCGTGGTATTTCATTTCACAAGCGCGAAACTCTAAATCAACAGAATAGTTCCCCTGCCAATCACAGGCGACGTCATCTCCCCATGGACCTGAAAACCTTCTCCCGACGAGGATCAGTGGGCAAGGCTTGAATGACGACAGAGTCGAGCTCGCGATTCGATCCGTTCGAGCCAATGCGATCGTGGTACTTCCACTCCGACTCTGTGCTCCGGATGGAGAGCGCATCCGGGGACTTTTGTCTCCTGTCGTTTCCCCGCACGCGATCGGCAAGGTTCTGGGATGCGGAGATGAACCAGGGGAGTCTGCCGGCGGGTTTGACTGGGTTCCTGAGTTAGCGGCTGGTATTTGATGATGGGAAAGTGCGGCGAGATGGGATGCGCGATGTGATGAAACTTACTAGTCCAGTATTCACGATTATCTTCGTCTTCGGGAACGATGTATCCGCCGGATATAAGCTTTGTCAAATAGATCATGCCGTTGAGCGCCGTGTACACCATCAAGCCCGCAATGAGACCGTAGGCTGCGCTGTATCCGAATGGGATGAACATTACGGTTACGAAGGCTGGGACGGCGTCGCCGATGTATCGCCAATTAATGGACGAAATTTGTCGCATCATCAGGCAACCGACCTATATTTGCGTTAACGCTAGCATCTTGAAGGTGGTACCAGGTGACTTACGAGGACCAAAGTGCTTCCAGTAGCCCATGGTGGGATCGAAGCGAAGATAGGTGCGAAGAACATCGAGATGAGGAAGCAGACGCCACAGGTCATGGCAGTCAATCCTGTTTTCCCGCCCTCTGCAATTCCTGCTCCACTCTCGATGAAGGCAGTGACGGGTGAGCAGCCGAGAAGTGCACCCATGGAGATGCAGAATGCGTCTGTGCAATAGGCTATCGTTGATCGCGGAAAGTCGCCAGTCTCTGCGTCCACCACTCCGGAGAAACGTGCCATGGAATAGAGCGTAGCTGTGCAGTCGATAATGTCAACATATAGGAAAGTGAAAAGAGCGAGTGCGAAATGGCCAGGTGCTGCGTTGACGTTCCAGTCCAGGGCGTTCAATGTGCGGTTGATGGGATGGAAGTCCACGACCTTCTTGAAGAACTCGAAGCGGTTATCGCCGACCTCAGTGTAGGGGAAGAAAGTGACTGAAGTGCCTCGTCTGTATGCATGTTAGCCTTCTGGGCTTGACTGAGATGATGAAAAAAGCTCACGGCCATGAAATGATTGACACAAGCAAGATAGCTAGAATCATGGCGCTCTTGACCTTGTATGTCATCAAGTAGGCTGTCAAGATACCACCACCAAGGATGCCTAGCCACATCTGCGAGACATGTTAGCAATGTTTGGGGAGCCGGCATCATATGACCTACAGTAGGTGAAGTCATCTTGTGACTTGTGCATGAGCCAAACTCATCCTTGTATTGATCAGGACACCCCGCGATATCAAGTGGGGTACTCTTTGAGCCCGCAATGGCACCAATGCCCGCGTTGTTGCTCAGTCCGACTTCTGCAAGAAAGAGTCCTATACCACATGCCGCGGCGATCTTGAGCGATACTGGTATGATCTTGACGAGCCATTGTCGCATGCCAATCAAGGACAAGAAGATGAATATGAAGCCCTCTGCAAAGACAGCAGTGAGCGCAAGGTTGTAGGAGATGAGGCCTTGGCCATGGAAGCCGACGATCTGGTAGGCGAAGTATGCGTTGAGGCCCATACCCGGTGCAAGACACACGGGCATGTTGGTGAAGAACCCAAAGAGGAAAGAGCTGAAGCCGGCTACGGCCGCTGTGGCGGTGATGAGGTTGCGGTTCAAATCTGAGCTTGGATCAGCTGAAGTTGTTGAAAGTATGGACGTTTCCTACCCTGCTTGCAAATGAGGTATTCCGTGTTCGTTAAGCACAGAGGGTCTGTGGCATCATTGCACACGCAATTACCGCCTGTATCAGCGAGGATAGTAGCCTAGGCTCGTTAGTATTTTGCGAGACATGATCCTTCGAGAGCTTTACATTGACCGCGATGATGTATGCCATTGTGAAGAAGGACGTAAGTCCTGCCCGCACTTCGGTGGTGAACTTCGTATGCAGGATCTCATCTTTCTGCGGAGACAGTCAGTCATGTTTGAGATATTACCACAATGGTCGAACATACATGCCCACAACCAGAGAGACGGAATATCCTGCCGAAAGTCGACCGGCCGACGTAGATGTTGAACGAGTGGATTGAGGAACGTATGGACTCCATGTTGCAGACGTGAAGTTGGCCGCCAGTTGGGGGTTTCAATCTCCAGTATAAGAGATGCCGTGATCGGCAGCAGATAGCCCTGCGTTGACTATATTTGTGTCACGCACGTCCGGTATAAGCAAACATGAACGATTCGGAACGAAAAGGTATATGGTGTTGATCAATCGCCAATGCGATTGCTTAAGGTGGGGCCATAAGCAAAGGGCCTTCCAGAAATGCAATGAAAAGTATCGACGACAGGGCGAGCTGGCTATACATCACACTCGAGGCGATGTGATATCAACCGTAAGGGATGGGTGGGAACGACGAGGGTAGGCATGCGGCGCGGCAGGGAAAAAAGCACGATCTAAGAAGCTTTTGGACGGAGTGACGGCATGACAACCTAGGACGGCCGCCGCAAGCGTAGTACAAGTGAATTGAACGGCGGCAGGAGCGTTGTCATGCAGCTGAAGCGGAGACTCGTGCAGCGTGCTGGAGTGTGGCAGTCTAGGCTCGTACTCTGGTGGCTTGACGGAAGCGAGTCAGGGGCCGGGGAGCCTAGCTAACGCTAGTCAGGCACGCCCGATGTCGATCAGGCTGCATCATGACTGGCCAAAGGGATGATGTCTGGTGCCCCTCCCGCATCTGCAGCAAAATGACGGGGCGACTAAAAGCCTTAGTAGAACCTTGTGCCTCTCCCTTGCCGATTGCTTCTGACAACAGTCACAACACAGACAGCAACTAAGGGCAGATCACTTACAGTTCACGCCGCCCTGGCGGTTCAGCGGCCTTGCAGCTGATTTTGTCCATGGCACCGGTGTCCGCCCTTGTTCCTACGGCACTGATCAGAGGGATCAGCTGTGATCGCCGGCCTAGTTGGGTTTGCAATTCGTAGCCCGCGGGTGCAAGTCAAGGTCGGCGGCATCATATCGGTTATTCAACCTAGCAGCCGTCATGTTGGCATGTGCGAATCGTATCCAGCCACAAGCGGTTCTGCAAAACCTTGGGCGGAGACACCGAAAGTTGGAAAAGTGAGCCCGATAAGCCAGCCAGTCGCAATTGCTGTACAACCCGAGTATTTGCTTTTTCGGGGAAGAACCGAATGGAAGAGGCGTTGCTTTGCACGCTCATACCACGTGTAGGTGTATCTTTCCCCAGCAGTATGGTCGACAACCCGAAAGCTCACGGTGCGCTTAGTGGTTTTGCGCCGTGGAGGAAGCACGGCAGGGCACTAGCGCATGAGTTCGGATTAGGGAAGCCCTGATAGTAGTCCTAAAAAGGTCAATAACGCCACGGTCCGAGTGGTGCGACAGCGTTTCGATGCCGCGGAAACATGGGACCGTTGCGTAACTCGCTTTGCGGTTGCGACACCCTCCACCCAGGTACTTGACTACTTTTCCGTCGAGAGGTGCGGCTAGCCTTGAGTGCTGGATAGCCTTCAGTCGATCATTCGCTCCCACCCCTTGAAAGATCGACTTATAGTGGCCCCGCTGCACTCCGCTAGACTCGCCACTGTGATCAAACATGTTCGCAACCGACTTACCACTGGATCAAGAGGCGGAGTCTGTTGGAGCGCGGAGGGAGCGAAAGACCAAAGAGCGATCCATCAGGTCAAACTCCATCCATACTTCACGAACGTCCACTAGTTCCGCAAACTCTGGCTCTACCGACCGTGAGCAATGGTGGTCTTCAGGCCTGAAGAAAGCAAAGAGTATAAAACCCAGGATACTACGACCATCAACCGGACAAACCACAGATTCTCAGAGAAACGCGAAGACCGTGCCAGCCGAGTTGGACTTGACCCGCACGCACAAGCTCAAGGATCCCGCGCTGCACCCTAGCTGGACATACACAGGCACTATTCCTGCGAAACTTCCATCTGGTGATTCTCTGCATCCGCAACAAGATGAAGTACCGGAGCTGGAAGGTGAAAAGTCCTCTCGAAAGACAGACTCCACGAGATCGCGCGTCTCACGTAAGTCATTAAGCATCAGCGTACCACAATCATGTGCTGAAGACATATTCCAGATGACCGCAAGCGCTCGGTGAGGACTCCGCCGGTAGTTGACAGCAGCGATGACGCAACGCAAGCAAGCCGCGTCAGTCCTAGATCTTTTGTTACGAGCAGAACTCGTGCCAGTTCCGAGACCCCTGAAGATAGAAATGCCCCACCAATGTCAATGCCAGGAGCGAAGAGGGTTGACAGCGGGTAAGTAATGTTTCCACCAACGTCGGTCTTATGCTTATTGTCTGTAGGTGGCCACAGCCAGCTGAAACCGAAGCAATGCCCAAAGTTGAAGCACTCGAGCTGCATGACAGCTTCCAGGAGAAAGGCCACGAAGACGCTAAGCATGTCTCAAAAGCGAGCGGTGGCGCAAATTCCGAAGTCTCCTGCAAGCCTCTCTCGCAATGGCAATGTCTCACTCCACGAGGGGTACCTTCGGAAATGCAGTTGCAGTCGCGTTCGACCCCTAAGAAGGTTGCAGTCGCCCAGAATACCACACCGGACCTCGGCCGTTTTACACGGTTTATCCGGAGGATGGAGGGAGCCGGTCCCAAGGTCATCCTGGACCGACTGAAGGAAGATTGGCAGTGGAGCACAGGCGGAGACGTTGATGAGGAGGTACGTGTCATCGTTATAACTATGCACAGACCTTTGCTAATGGTAAAAACAGTTGGTCCTCGAGAAACAATTGTGGCTGTTGACGGGGTTCCAAATGCAGAATTTGGGTCGGGAACGGACCCTGCCGAAGCCCGAATGTAACACCGGGAGGATCCTTGAACTCTACGGTAATCTCTGTAAGTCCATGTTGTGCCCTTGCGTTACACTGCTGTGCAATCTCTAACGGTCGATGTCAGCTGAGGTATACCAACTGTCGGCAATGCATCCGTCCCAAACAGTGCACTTCCTCACTACCAAACCCCAGCGACGTGTTCAGTTACCGGGCAACGTATCCTACTTGACGGTGCGCAAGTTTGGTGCCGTTCCACTGCCTTACCCAGAGGACTACTTCTCGCATATAAGAGCATCGACGTTGCCATCGCTGGTACCCTCTGCGATATTACCGGAACTGTTCACCGAATGTCACAAGCTGCTCGCTACCGGTGGTTTCCTAGAGATCAGGATCATGGATGCTGCCCCGGTACGCAAGACTACCGGTCCATTGATGCGAACCTGGATCGAGGACAGACTCTCCGTCAATCTGGAGCGAGACTTCAGATGCTCAAAGCCATGTTCGCTGGTCCCCAGTTGGCTGACAGCTGCCGGGTTCGAGATGCTCGTTCAGGAAGACGACCAGAGCATGACGCTACCGTGCGCTATCGACTCGGATACCGCCAATGTGAACGAAGAGCTTTCCATGATCATCGGCCGGGCCTTCTGGAAGGACATATGGGGCAGCTTCGTAGACGACGCTCAAGACGAACCGAAATGGTGGTGGGAAGACGAAGAGATTGTCCAGGAGTGTGTAAAGCGCCAAACTCTGCTCGAATGCAGGACAATTTTTGCATACAAGCGATGAGCGCCGCACTTTGTGGCACCGTGGTTGGTGCAATGTAATAGTACTGAGGGTTTAGCGGGATGGAAATGGCGTTGGTGGAGATATGGGGCGTCTGTACGATAGGATACCCGACGCGTGTTGCTGTCACTACCGCTTACGATGATACCGCCTTTAGACTTGTAGTTAGATAGCGATGCATTTGGTACGCGTACATTGATGGTTGAATGTGCGAGCCGATCAATGGAGCTCTAGAGTTAATCCCCACCCCGCGCTACCCATATGTGTATTAGCGTACTCACACGTGACAGCGTGCCTCCTGGGCATTATTGTACCTTGGTAATAATAGTTGTTACTATCATCTTATTCATTCTCATATCGAGTCGCAAAGGATGGAACCTGCTGTGTACCACCAGAAGTCGAAATCCGGTAGCCGCTTTGTTTCGCTCCGCGTCCCCCAACCGTCCGTGCCACGCCCTTCGTTTCAGCTGCAAGGTCCGCGACGCGTCGTGGCTACATGATCAGCACTATGTCAGCACAACCGAGACTTCTCCTGCACATCTCTTTCATTCCACAGTGCCTTCTGTCTGCTTCCGCCACCGGTTAATTAATACTTGCACCGCTCTTTCACAATCTAGCATAGCCCTTACACAATCGTGCGGAAATCTAGATCGGCCCCAGATCGATATATCCGAATTACGACCGCTGAACGACATCAGCAAACATGTTCAGTTCTCTAGGGACAAAGATAGCCCTCCGAAAAGCCGGACTGGGCGGTGTATCGCTACCAAAAACCGACGGCTTGTTTGGGAATGGCAACACGAAGAAGGGGAACACAAATGGCGCCGAGGGAGGAGACACAGGTTTCGCCAACCCATTCGCAAACGTACAATGGGGTGTACCAAAAGCCCTACAATCTTGGACGACACCTCCACCACCGCAGAACCCGGTGCGCAAGCCACCAAACATAGGAGACCGCGCACAAAGCCATCCCAAGTTACAATTTCCTACAGCCGATGGACGGCCGACTATACTGCTGTTCCTGAGGTTTTGCGGATGCCCTTGTGAGTAATCATCATTCCAGAGGCTGTATTCGGATGCAACGGTGGAAATCGTACATTTACTAATAGCTCCAACAGTCTCAGAGAAACTCTTCCTCACGCTCCGAACCCTAGCGAACAAGCACACTTCCATCCACTTCGTCGCAATATCGCACTGCACACCTGCTGCAACCACAGAATGGGTCAAGAAACTCGGTGGGGCCTGGAATGTAGACGTGATTGTAGACCAAGACCGGGAATTATACGCGCTATGGGGTCTGGGCATAGCTACTTGGGGTCATGTTCTGCATCCCAGGAATGGCTACAACCAGGTCATGCTCAGGAAGAATGAGGGTGTTTGGGGCCAACTGGTTGGAGAAGGCGCATGTAGATGGCAGGTTGGAGGCTCATATTCGGTGGACGGGAGGGGTGTGGTGACATGGGGCGGACCGATGCAATCAGCAGACGAGGCGATACCATTCGAACACGGCGTAATGTCTCTTGGATATGGAGAGACGAGGATATAATGCCGTGGCATATGTCGGAATTGAGGACCTCTTAGATGGGTACTTAGGCTGTCTGGATTCTACATGAGGGCATAGTCGATGCACATGAACGCTCATGCAGATGCGAATGGTCTACATCTTTCGTGTATAGTACTTGCCGGTTTCGACTTGGCTCTTCCAGAAGAAAAGCCCATAGTCAACAATGAAATAGTGGCATACTTGGGCAAACATCTCAGAGTTGACATGGTAACAAAATCAGCTTCGGTTTGTTGGACAGAATCTATTATCAATTCTACTGAAGATCATGACTGCGCCTGAAGAAAGCGTCTCGGAACAGCTTCAAAACTGCCAGCTCATCGCCGCATTGCGAGCTGAAGCGATTCGTGAGTAATGAACGGCCTTTTATGCGAAGTAAACACAAACGGAACAGGACAGTTGACGTCTATACAGGACACATTACTGCCATATTTAGCCACGACTATCCCAATTACCACCATTTCGAAGTCTTGACTGGTGCAAAGACCGTTGTCGACGACAAGGGCGAAAGACGGGCTATTTACTCCACAAGAGCGCTAGTGTACCTAGATTCTGGTTGCAGCAAATGGCATTTGGTTGCGGAAGGTGAAAAGAATTGTTGCACACATCTGAAGGCGATGGAGAACTTCCTCGGTGGGGCCATGGTCAGATTTGAGGAAGTGATAGGTAAGTTGTTGCCATACATCCAAACAATTGCGATACCTAATGGAGCGGACTAACTTTAACGTAGCTGAGCGAGAGGGAGGTACTATTCGGGAGTATACTGAAAGGGAGTATAGTCCAGACTCGGATGAATATGATGATCAAGCAAACGATGAATGGTAGAGACGAGGACATAAATCGTAGTAACGTTCTCGTTGTTATTTGCTGCGGATGTATCTTCAGTCGTGATAACTAGCACTATTCGCTGCATATGAGAGCCTATGATATATATATTCCTCATGCGTGATCCCCAGATGTTAGATGTATTGGATCTGGCGTAGTTATCCTGCCAATGTAGGGTTCATACTAGCGTGGTGCAGCAACGGCGCCTTCGGAGCAGTCGCGTCCTCACCTTTCATAACCACACCACAACATCGTACAGTCTGACTGCATCAGCTCATCAAACATGAGATACTGGAATTAGATTTTGAGAATGGCGCTGTAGCAGGGCGCGATACGCCAAATCAGGGAGACTTGACGACCTGTGGGTTTCCTGGACATTTCCTCCCCACCACAGGCGCTATCCACGGGTTATCATAACCACGGCGTGCTCACACAGACTATACAGTGAAGCAAAGACATGATACTAAGTAGGGTATGGAATTTCGGAGAGGTGAGCTTGCTGGATTCAATCCGGAAACTTTCTCGGAGACATTCCGTCACTACCCCTCTAATATTGATCGGGGACTTTACCTAAGATACTATGCGCCACACAGTCCCTTCTTTGCATATTTCCAAACAGTCTGTACCTTGATGGTGAGCATGTTGGACAACGAAATTGTATCGGAGCGTTATGCATCGGAGCTTTATGCCGCGGAGCTGGTGTTCGTGGTGTATAAAGCAGGCAAGTTCGACTGATCTCAAACACAACACCCACCGCAAGCTCACATCGTCTTTTACAGTCATACCCAGATACTCAGGACACCTTTTCTCCCTATACATTTGCCTCCACAGCAACATATTGAAGCCTCATCAAGATGGCGCTCCGATCTCGACCCCAGATATTCGACGTACTCATCATCGGCTCAGGTCCTGCAGGACTTAATGCGGCGCTCACTTGCGCAAGAACACGCACCAAAGCCCTCGTATTCGACAACCAACAGTATCGCAACGAAGGTGTCACGCACATGCATACTGTAGCGTCACGCGACCACTTCAATCCCAGAGAGTTCGGCCGCATAGCCCGTGAACAGATCGAATCCCGATACGATAGCGTATGGTTTCAATCCGCTACAATCACCTATGCATCGAAGAAACAACTGTCGTTGCCAGATCAGAAGGACTTGTACGATGGCTTCGAAGTCAAGGACAGTGAAGGCCACTCGTACGAGGGCAAGAAGATCATCCTGGCCACTGGTTCGAAGGATATCCTTCCCGACGTTCAAGGTTACAAGGAGAACTGGCCAGACCACATATACCAATGTCTAGCTTGCGATGGCTACGAGCAAAGAGGGAGTGCAGTCGGCATACTGGATTTCGATAATCCAGGATACGCACATATGGTCCAAATGGCAGTCCCTCTCGAACCTGTCTCAATTACCTTGTTTACCAACGGACCCATCAAGAAGGAAGCGCCAATGCAAGACGCTTTGAAGCTCGCAAAGGCTTTCGGTGCAACGCTCGACGAGCGGAAGATCGTTCGCATGGTGAACAACGGCCCAAGTCACATAGATGGCGTCACAATCCATTTTGAGACTGGAGAACCAGTTACTCTCGGTTTCCTCGTTCACAGACCTATTACGGTCAATCGCGCGCAACATCTCATCGAGCAGCTTGGCGTCGAGACAGTGGATCCAGCGATGGGCGGACACATCAAGATCGCAAACGCAATGTTCAACGAGACCAGTGTCAGAGGTGTGTTTGCAGGCGGTGATACTATGGTCATGATGAAGCAGGTTGCGATTTCCATGGCGGATGGACTCAAAGCTGCCGCAGGTGCAGGAATGCAGATTGCACAGGAGAAGGCTAAGGGTTTAGCCAAGGCTTTTGAAGAGAGGGAGGGTACGATCGAGGGAGAGAAAGATAAGGCGGAGGTGGCTTCGTACTAGAAGCGAGGGCTAAACAATAACCATAAGTTGAAGAGAGCCCGATCTTGTAGTCTTGGAAATCAGAGAGTGGCAGGTAGAACGGTCAAGTTGTAATAAAGTCGCTTCTCCGAAGGTGTAGAATATAGTTTCCCCTTGTGAATTCATAATGCATCAACCTAATGTCCAGATCTTGATCCAGTGGCTGGTCCGCACCCTGTACCTTCCATCGTATTGAGAGCAAGAGCAAGAGCATCCAGCGCACCATCCCTCACATGCCCTCGCTACCCATGACACTTGCCACGTTTCCCACGTTCGCCATGTTATTACTCTCAGATACCCACATGTTTCCTCTCAGCCTTCTTCCACGTTAAATCTCGTACCGGAACCTTCCAACTCACTACAGAACCACTCTAATCAATCCAATCATGTTTATCCCGCAAATCGCCGACCTAAAAGCCCGCATCAATGACCTAATTATCAAAAGCACATCCATACCTTCCTCCTCTTCCGAAACTTCTACCTCCGCAAGCAACAATGCCAGCAGAGAACCGGCGCCCCCGCCAAAATACGCCATCAAGAAACCATCGATACGCCTCTTCCCTGAGACACAAGCGCCACTGCCGACGATCAATGTGGTGACGAAACATAGTCACGCGTTCAATAGCTCGAAAGCAGCAGGACTAGATAAGCTGGAGCAACTTCAATTCGCTGAA